GTTCAAAGTTTCTTTTGAATAACTATAAACTTTGTAAGTCTCTTGAAGAGTCAAAATATCAGCAATGCTATTGTGAGCATTGAATGACTAATCTATAAACATATTAATTGCGACGCGCTTTTGGACTCCAACTTTTTTAGGGTTGGGAGTCCATGGACTCCATGTTTTAAAGTCCTAGTGAGAACCCTGGTATATGAGGAGTAGTCCGGACAAGCTTTTGCGTATCTGGCAACACACAGAAAAAAACACCTTTTTATCAAAGGGCCATAACTCGGCCAAAAATCATTCAACCGGAAAACCCCTGCAATATGCGCAAGGACTTGAGCTACAGATCAATCCTGTAAAGTTTCATTGAAATTGCATTAGTGGTATAAGAGAAGTAGTCCGGACAAACTTTAAAAATAAAAATTATTAAAGGGACATAACTCTGACAAAAATCATTGAACCGGAAAATGCTGACAATATGCACAACTAGACTTGGTACTGATCATTCCTGTAAAGTTTGGATGAAATTGCATTAGTAGTTTATGAGGAGTAGTCCGGACAAGCTTTTTGTGTATCTGGCAACACACAGAAAAAAACACCTTTTTATCAAAGGGCCATAACTCGGCCAAAAATCATTCAACTGGAAAACCTGTGCAATATGCGCAAGGACTTGAGCTACAGATCAATCCTGTAAAGTTTCATTGAAATTGCATTAGTGGATAAGAGAAGTAGTCCGGACAAACTTTAAAATTAAAAATTATTAAAGGGCCATAACTCTGACAAAAATCATTGAACCGGAAAATGCTGACAATATGCACAACTAGACTTGGTACTGATCATTCCTGTAAAGTTTGGATGAAATTGCACTAGTAGTTTATGAGGAGTAGTCCGGACAAGTTTTGTGACTGACAGACAGACGGACAGACAGACGACAGAGAAGTGATCCCTATATGTCGCCACTACTCCGTAGAGGCGACACAAAAAAGGATTATAGTAATTATGTAAATGATTTCAATTCATGTTTATCAACTGCAACTAAACGCTATTTTTTCTATCAATAATTGCTATAAAGTTTGATTTTAATAAAATCCATACCTATACATTAAAAAACACTTTATATATAAGTATGGATTTTTTAAATTAATTATTGATAGAATTTCAAGCTCCTGTGCAAAAATAAACAAACAAACACAATAACTGTTTTTTTTGGTTAAAATTTTCGCTTAAAGATAAAAAATAACATAAGCATTTTCGACTTTCATATCATTTGAAAAGTGCCGTATGTCTAGACAATTCAGTGTGTCCTGGCTAGCCGTACGTGACTCACGAACAGCTAGAATTTTTGGCTAGCGTACCGGAACGTATGGTTAGCCACTTCATTATTTATATGCGGAAAGTCAGAGCTGGGCCCAAGGCCCTGCGAGGGCTGTAGCGCTCTTAGATAACATGTATGACGCATATGTATCAATTCAAATGAAATCAAATTCAAACTAAATGAAAATTTAAAAAAAATATATATCCTATACCTAATGAGCTGTGAAAAAATCCTTAGTTAACTGGGCACCGCCATTTTGAAATCCTTTTGATATCAGAGCGCTTTTAATGAGCATCTATATAATTCAGACTATTGCTAGCAGACGCATGCTAAGTAACACTTCCGGTGAAAGAATGATGTACAAAATCAGAAAATAAACCTGCATTTCATTGATAAGAATCACAGGAACCCAAAATTCTATCCAAAACAAAAAAATCCCATATCTATACTATAAAAAAACACAAGAAAGGCAACAACATTTCCCCACCCACCGCTACATTTACAAGGAATATTTGTAAAAACGCCTGGAATTTACTTCCGAGCGCATTAAATCAATAAAGCACATTAAAATCTATCAGAAACACAACTTACTCTTATCAACTATCCAACTTTTAGACTTTTAGGCCAATTGAATGAATTTATCACTGCTCTTCTCCCATTATCTGTTCCATTGCCAGTTCAAGCGATAAACTCTGTCATACCATTATTGACCGGTCTTTGCATATCCCGAAATTCTATCCAAAACAAAAAAAAACGATTTAAATAAAAATCCCATATATATAATAGAATATACCATATGGGATTTTTATTTAAATTGTTCTTTTTTTTTTTTTTGATAGAATTTTGGGATATACAAAGACTGGTCAATAACGGTATGACGGAGTTTATCGCTTGAAATGGCAATGGAACAGACGATGGGAGAAAAGCAGTGATAAATTCATTCAATTGGCGTAAAAGTTGGATAGTTGATAAGAGTAAGTTGTGTTTCTGATAGATTTTAATGTGCTTTATTTCGTGTGCTCGGAAGTAAATTCCAGGCGTTTTTACAAATATTCCTTGTAAATGTAGCGGTGGGTGGGGAAATGTTGTTGCCTTCCTTGTGTTTTTTTATAGTATAGATATGGGATTTTTTTTAAATCATTATTTTTTTGTTTTGGATAGAATTTCGGGTTCCTGTGATAAGAACTATAGAAACGATTATAAATAAATATAAAAAGCTACTTTAACATATCCTTTTTGATAAATTGGCACATTAAAAATAACGTTAAAACAACAACTGTGATTAGAGATTAACAAAAATGGCGGACAGGATTTTCCAAATGGCCGAGGCATGCGACGCTCCGATGATAGGTTTAATACAACCAATTTATTTGTTTTGTTTACAGTGTCTATTCTAGGACGCGAGATTGCGCGATTCACGCTAATATTTCAAAGATTGCGCACAATTCAAAATCATGTGAGTGAAAATCGCGCATCTATAAAAAAGTTAATAAAATCGTAAAAAAATTCTGGAAACAAAGTGATCCCTCGCAAGCATAATTCCATCTCGCATTTTATTTGGTTGTTTTGTTTACATTTACACTGAAGGGAAACTGTAAGCTAATTATAATAATTTAGTACCGTATGGTACTGGTTACGTGAGTTGACGGAAATTAACGGAATGTTTCGTACCTACCGGAACTAGTGTGCTAGGTCTGACAGTTGGGCGCCATTTTAGTGTAGTAAATAATCAAGAAATCCTAGCTTGGCTACGATCTAGACGTAAAAGATAGGTCGATTGTTTGTATTGTCAATCCCTTGATAATCAATCGCGACAGTTCTATAATAATTTGTTTTCGTTCATAAATTAAGGGAGGACAACTTCTGCTGCCTTAAATGAATATTTTCGTTTTAAATATTTCATCTGTTGAACGCCTCAGTGTAAACTTAATGCAGACGATTTAACATTGGCAGTTTATATTGGCACCCCTTGATTTTGAAAATCGCCCCCTTTTTTGAAATAGAGGGGGGAAAATCACCCCTATTTTTGAATTCCTAGAATAGACACTGTGTTTATAGTACAAAATGCCTGTTTACATGTACACTAAATATGTTATGCTAAAATCATAATTCATAACAGCTTTCCGCACCATAGGTAGCATCTAATTTCATAAAATGAAATTAGGCAAAGCCTATGAACGGGGAAGTCGGTAAAAAATCCTTTCATTTTTTCCGTGTTAAAGGTGTCATTCGGTATTATATGTACCCGCTTCCGTTTTCACTCGGAACACTCGACGATTATTATTAATCCGAAAAGTTGAGATTTGTTCCGTTATCGGAATACACCGCCTTTTATCATTGAGTTACATTGTAAATGGCGGCGCCTAACTAGAACTGACACTGAAAATTTCATTGATGGGTATAGAATTCTATATATTTTTTAATTTTTTATTTTATTTGATTTTCTTTTAAATATATCGTGGACTAACCAGTTCTCAAACCTCTAAGCATTCAAGAGGTCTTTTAATGTAAATAAAAATATATCTTTATAAAAATTCTTTACATATGTACACTTTAATCTTTATGTAACATTTCTGTAAAATTTGACTGAAATTCAACCATTAAAAAAGCACTATTTCCATCTTGGAAAAGCACAACCCTCTGTTTTAAAACTAACATGGCCTCTTAAAATAAAGAACCTAATCTCAAACCCCTTCAAGTATCTCTAAAATTCTACTGTTTAGTTTAGCCAATGAAGTGATTGTTATATGACTATCACATGGCAATGAAGTACCCTACACGATGCAGTTACCTGCTTTAAGATATTTTGTCTATAATATTCATTTTCACAAATAGTTAATGGTGTATTTATGGGACTTACAAAGGTAATAGCAATTTGTATGACATTACGCTAAGTAATAAAATATGTTATGTAAATATTTGTACCTATGCACTGTTTTCATTTGACATCAGCAGACATGTCTGTCAGAAACTAAGCTTTTATGCACACAAGTTCAGAACATCATAGTCACTTCTAGTAAAAAAATAACAGCACATGAATGAAAGGTTTGAGAATAGGTTGGGTGTGAGATTAGGTACTTATACGATACATGTGTAGTCTATAGCCGGGCAAGCCAAAGCCCGGGCCCGCGGACTTTGACTTCCCCGTATTAACATATTAATCATGTGTTGCTGTGATATATCATTTGGCAATACAACCAATTAACCTAAATTAGCTTTAAACTTAGTTGAAATAAAGGTAATTAGCAAAATTTTTAATCAAATAATGCTAAAAATAATAAATATAAACATATATAAGCATTTTGTTGTTGACCCAACTTTTTTTTTTCCTTTATAGAAAAAAATTGGATGAGGGGTGAAGTGTCTTACTGATTTTGGGGGGTGAAGTGTCTTAAGGGGTGAAGTGTCTTCAAAATTTGAGGGGTGAAGTGTCTGGGGGGTGAGGTGTCTTGCTACCTGTGTTGCATTAGGGTGTCACGAACAGTTTTTTCACATATTTTACATGTTAATGAAGTAAGAGATAGGGCGATAATTTAAAGGATCACATTTATCACCCTTGTTTCTATACAAAGCTTTAACATTAGCTTCTTTCCAAGCATCTGGTAGATCACCATTCCATTATCCCTACTTAAAGGATCTCTAGCATATCTAGCGTTTTACATAATTTAGATGAGGATGAAATTATGAAGACGCAAAATACCTGTTGAATCGAAGCATCTTGATCAATTTCAATTGCTTGTTTTTCTTTAGGGGTTTTAACTGTAACCGTTATTTTCTTTCCAGAATTTTCCGATGTTGAATTGTCAGCCATTTTGCAAATTGGCGTATTTCCGCTTCCGGGATTCACTTCAGGCTGAACACCACTAATATCCGACGCAGTGGTCCCCCTTTGATTCGCAATGAAAAAATATACATCGTTGCCAAGTAGGGGGCAGGGGACCTAAAAATGAACAATATTGTATTTCAGTCTGGCCAGAAAAACAGTTCAAAATATTTCAAATTCTGTATCACAGGCAGATAACCAGTTGCACAACATTATTCAATGATATATGACATACATTCAAGAAAATAATAGTTTGCATGCATTGCTCCTTAAAATCAAAGCACAGAAGGCGCTGAATTTGTTTGGGTCTCAGAATGTCAGAAAGGTGAAGGTTGTGAGATTATAAACCAATTTGTTTTTGTATAGTGCCACCAATTCTTTCTAGCATTTTAATTGTAGTAAATTGGCTATAAGACTAATTGCAACACTGATATTCAATTCAATACTTAAACAATTTGAAAAAAATAAGTTGCCTCAACTGGGATTTTGAACTACAGATTTCTCTCTTCCTAAGCGAGCGCACAAAACCCTCGGCCACAGTGAAGTTATATGTTAACAGCCTGAAGAAAACCATATTATTCTAAATTAGGGTTTGTAACCCTTATTATTTCGTTAAACACAGATGTAAATAACAATGGAGCTTACTATAATTAAGTATGTATATCTATAAAGAATAAAACAATATTAGAAATCTTTGACCATTCGGGAACTATTTTGCTTGAAAATTAATGCGCCTGTTATTTGACCATCTTTACGCAGTGATCTCCCCTGAATTTTTCGGCGTTAGTGTACATATAAAGGGAAGTAACCGCTTCAAAAAGTGGACTACTTTCGGCATTTGCAATTAACAGCATCAGGGTCTGAAATTTCTCTACCATTATTTGTTTGGTCTGACGACCCAAACAAATAACAAGAGCCACCGCCGGGCGGGGGCAACGCTCGACTTTTTACTTTTTCTAAACGCAAACATAGAAAGGTTTGAACATATATTGATGTTTCCTTTTTATAAATTTAGTTGGTCTGTCTTGTCACATTAGTTTTGTTTATATATTTTGTATATATATGAATAGAAACATTAAGCATATTTCTAAAAATAGCAACAGTACGCAATTTCTTAAAATAGCAACATGACGCAATTTCTCAATATAGAAAAAATGATGCAATTTCTAAAAATACAAAAAATGACATAATTTCTAAAAATAAAAAAGTGATGCAATTTCTAAAAATAGCAACAATGATGCAATTTCTAAAAATAGAAAAATTGACGCAATTTCTAAAAATAGAAAAAATGAAGCAATTTCTTAAAAAAAGAAAAAAATGACGCAATTTCTAGATATACTAAAATAGAAATTATGACGCAATATCTAAAAATAGAAATTATGACGCAATTTCTAAAAGTAGAAAAAATGACGCAATTTCTAAAAATAGCACCAATGACGCAATTTCTAAAAAATAGAAATTATGACGCAATTTCTAAAAAATAGAAATTATGACGCAATTTCTAAAAAATGACGCAATTTCTAAAAATAGCACCAATGACGCAATTTCTAAAAATAGAAAAAATGACGCAATTTCTAAAAAATAGAAATTATGACGCAATTTCTAAAAAATAGAAAAAAATGACGCAATTTCTAAAAATAGCACCAATGACGCAATTTCTAAAAATAGAAAAAATGACGCAATTTCTAAAAATAGAAATTATGACGCAATTTCTAAAAATAGAAAAAATGACGCAATTTCTAAAAAATAGCACCAATGACGCAATTTCTAAAAATAGAAATTATGACGCAATTTTCTAAAAATAGAAAAAATGACGCAATTTCTAAAAATAGCACCAATGATGACGCAATTTCTAAAAATAGAAATTATGACGCAATTTCTAAAAATAGAAAAAATGACGCAATTTCTAAAAATAGCACCAATGACGCAATTTCTAAAAATAGAAATTATGACGCAATTTCTAAAAATAGAAAAAATGACGCAATTTCTAAAAAATAGCACCAATGACGCAATTTCTAAAAATAGAAATTATGACGCAATTTCTAAAAATAGAAAAAATGACGCAATTTCTAAAAAATAGCACCAATGATGCAATTTCTAAAAAATAGAAATTATGACGCAATTTCTAAAAAATAGAAAAAAATGACGCAATTTCTAAAAATAGCACCAATGACGCAATTTCTAAAAATAGAAATTATGACGCAATTTCTAAAAATAGAAAAAATGACGCAATTTCTAAAAATAGCACCAATGACGCAATTTCTAAAAAAATAGAAATTATGACGCGCAATTTCTAAAAATAGAAAAAATGACGCAATTTCTAAAATAGCACCAATGATGCAATTTCTAAAAATAGAAATTATGACGCAATTTCTAAAAAATAGAAAAAATGACGCAATTTTCTAAAAATAGAAATTATGACGCAATTTCTAAAAAATAGAAATTATGACGCAATTTCTAAAAATAGCACCAATGACGCAATTTCTAAAAATAGAAATTATGACGCAATTTCTAAAAAATAGAAAAAATGACGCAATTTCTAAAAATAGCACCAATGATGCAATTTCTAAAAATAGAAATTATGACGCAATTTTCTAAAAATAGAAAAAATGATGCAATCTCTAAAAAAATAGAAACAATGACGCATTTCTATGAAAAAAACCCAAAAAAAAACAATGACCCAATTTCTCTAAATAGAAACAATGACGCAATTCTATAAAATAGAAACAATGACGCAATTCTATAAATAGAAAACAATGACACAATTTTAGTTATTGTTGTTGTTGTTGTAAATATATATATATAGACACACACACACCAATAAATATTTAAATATGGTCATTTACTGCACAAATCTGAGAAAATTCAGTAATTTAACCTTCAAGGTCAAGGTCATTTAAGAGCCCCAAGCAAAGTTGGGTTTGATAAACAACAAGGTCTGGTCCTTAAGAATGTTCTCTAATAAATATGAAGTTGATCCCTTCAATAATAGCAAAGTTACAGTCAGTGACCGCCAAAACAATGAAAATTTCAATATTTGACCTTCAAAGACAATGTCATTAATGTGTGAAGGTCAAGGTCTCCGGTATATCTTTAACAGTAATCTTTGAAGATTATTATGTTCAAGTTTCAGGACAATCCATTCAAAAAATAACAAACTTACAGCCAATAAAAGCCAAAAAAAATGAAAATTTCAATAATTTGACCTTCAAAGTCAAGGTCATTTATGAGTGAAGGTCAAGGTCTGGCTGGTTATTTTTAAGGGATATCCTTAAAGATTATTATGTTCAAGTTTGAAGACAATCCATTCAAAAATAACAAAGTTACAGCCCAATAACAGCATGAACAAGCAAAATTGGACTTTAACCTTGAAGGTCAAGGTCATTTATGGATGAAGGTCAAGGTTAGTGTGGTCTACTGAAAGGTCTTGTCCCAAGGGTTGTTGTGGCCAAGTATGAAGACAATACACAAAGAAATAAAAAAGTTATGATCCAGGTACAAGTTTTCGGACGGCAACGGCAACGGCAACGGCAACGGCAACGGCAACGCCGACCTGACTGTAGCAATACCTCTATTTTTTTTTCAAAAAAAAAAGTCGAGCTAAAAATGACTGACAGCAATTTATATTTAACCCCATGGCACCCAGCCAAAATCACACCTAAAATACACTTAACAAATCTTATAAGTGTGCACCTTTTATGTCCTTATAACTTTTTTGTTCATCAATATTTCTTTACAAAAGTTTGTGTTCTGACTATTGGCTGCATTTCCACACTTTTTCTGTGCTCAAACTTGTAAAATTTAATTATGCGGCGCGTTCAACCGTGAACGTACAAAATTCACATAATGCACGAAAAAATTGTGTGAATGCGTGAAAGAAAATTGCACATGATATTCTCGTATACAACAGAGATCCCCATATCAGAAAAACATAACATATGGGTACATTATCTATTCAACAGCGTGGCATAGCCCTAGGATTGGTCTACGCTGGAGTACACCAAGCAGAGATTGGTAAAAAATAATTTGTTTATATAATTATTTAAACTCCATTGCATTGTAAAAGCTGAAAATCATTTAAATTAAGTTCCTACCAAAGACAAACATAATTGCATATTTGTTTTTTACTTATTACATGTTTTTATCATTTGGAGGTTGCGCAACGCATGGTGTTCACCGCAATGTAATAATAAGGCTTAAGAAGGCTAATCTTCATAACAGAGTAACTGGCAGCGTTTATAACATTCCTCGCCGACCCCAAAATTATCTCCAACGGTATGTTACATTGATGCGACGACGCTCCAAGGCTGTAATGCACAGTCAGAGTGGCACACACGGTTTAAGAACATTATTTTGCAACATCGACTTTCGACACGCACTCACATTTTTATGCCCCCGCCATGTAATGGCCGGGGCATATAGTGTTACCCTGTTCCGTCATTCCGTCCTTCCGTCCTTCCGTCCTTCCGTCCTTCCGTCCTTCCGTCCTTCCGTCCTTCCGTCATTCTGTCATTCCGTCATCATCAGTTTCCGTTCATTATCTTAAGAACGGTTGGGCACATTCAACTCAAATTTGACATATGGATATGTCATGAGAAAATACAGGTCAAGTTCGAATTTGGTCATGGTTCGATGATTTTTGGCAGAGTTATGCCCCTTTTACTTTGAAAATAATATGAAATTTCAGTTTCCGTTCATTATCTCAAGAACGGTTGGACACATTCAACTCAAACTTGACATATTGATATGTTATGAGAAAATACAGGTCAAGTTCGAATTTGGTTATGGTTCGATGATTTTTGGCAGAGTTATGCCCCTTTTACTTTGAAAATAATATGAAATTTTCAGTTTCCATTCATTATCTCCCCAACGGTACAACACAATCAACTCAAACTTGACATATGGATATATCATGAGAAAATACAGGTCAAGTTCGAATTTGGTCATGGTTCGATGATTTTTGGCAGAGTTATGCCCCTTTCACTTTGAAGATAATATTAAATTTTCAGTTTCCGTTCAGTATCTCCCTCAAGGTACAACACATTCAACTCAAACG